GGCACACCACATGACAAATATGTTGCTTTGAGCAAAAAGTGCATTTTACTCACACACAGAAATACATGCATGCATGGTAACATAGCCACGAGCAAAACATGTGCAGTCCCATGCAGAAGCTGTAGCACAGGTAACAGTACTGTAGTACACACATATACTGTAGTATTTCCACCTGAGCTTGAAGCTCTTTCGGTCATGGTTGTTTGGAATTTGCTGCCCCCTGCTGAAATTAAAAGAATAACTCCAGCTTCATGTCACACCAGCAGGGATCAAAAGGAACAAAAACGGATGTGATTTACTGTGTGAGTTCACTCTTTTGTTGAACAAAACCTACAGTTCAACCTCTGGCTGATGATTTTCAGCTTTGAGCCAGAGTTTCCAGTTAACAGGATGGTTTATTCTAAAGGTCCCCCTCCCTCATTTGTCAATAACATTTACAGATTCATAAAAATAAAAAAATCACACCACCTAGAGTGGTTGATATTGAATTTATATTTTGGATTTGGCTATTTAAAGGGATTATAACGATAGGGTATATACTCTTGGGATAAATACGTACATGTTTACTAACACAAACTTGAATGTACTTTTAAGCAAGCTCTATGTCCTTCAGATTCCTGCTTCTGGTTGTCCTTTTTATTTGGCTCCTTGACCAATCTGTCTACTCAGTTTGCTCTCTTGCCTTTCAGTTTGTCTTTAATCCATTACATAATTCCCTTCCTTCTCATAATCATTTGGCTGCCTGCATGTCCTGCCTCTGGGTGTTTATCAGCAGTGCAGGATCTCATTTGCATCATATTTAAGCCCAGAACAACACACATGCTCAAAACGCCAGATAATTGTGGTAACTTTGCTGGGTCAGACTTGGCAGCGATCTTGTGAAATTATGCATCTATTTGCCAAGAAAATTAAGTTAATCTGACTTCAATGACAGTTTAAACTGCTGCAGGATTATAACTAAAACTGTATACAGTTAAGTAAATCTGCCGCAGGGGTGCCTGAATGATTAATTGTTTCCAAAACCCCCATATCAGATAACATTTCAGATTCCAGATGTCGGTAGCAGTGAGATAATTGTAGATTTAAAGTGAAAGGGTAACAGATTCTGTTGTTAATATTTATTGCGTCATCGATGCACAAACAGTGCAGGGATTTTCTTGCATATTTATTTTCCCTTCCTGCTTCCAATCAAAAGATCAGGATTAAAATCTAGGTTGCTATGATCTTTAGGCAAGGCTGACTTTTGGCCATGGTGCGTAGCGTTTCTATCTTGGCTCTGTCCTGAAGCGCTGCCCCCAAACACTGTGAGTGAGTCAACTAATCTGTTATGCCTTCTCTACAACCGCAGGGATGAATGCTGCTTCTCTTTTTCTATCTTACTGACTGCTCTTCTTTCTGCTGTCTCCTATTTCCTCATCTGTCTTACAGCATCTGTATCAGTCTGCCCCTCCGTTGCCTTTGTGAATTGGTCTCTGTTAGGCTGTTTGTTAGTGTTATATGAGCTGTATGATTGTTTCCTTGATTGAAACAATGGTGTGTGTTAGTTTGTTTTCTCATCTTGTTTGCCTCCCTGTTACCTGTCTTGCTCTTGCATAAAAGTTACCTCACATGATTGTTTCTCTTCATGTCACTGTCTGAATGGTTTGGTCTGTCTATCATCCTCTGAAAGTCTCTTTGTACACAATGGTAAATACTACATTTATACAACACTTTTCTAGTCTTCTGACCACTCAAAGCACTTTCACACTATTTAACACATTCACACACTGATGACAGAGGATGCTATGAAAAGTGCCAACTATTGTTAACTAATCACATTCATTCACATTCATCCGCCGCTGGCCATGCCATGGGGAACAATTTGGGGTTCAGTGTTTTGCCCAAGGTCACTTAGACATGTTCACTGCAAACTGGGGATAGAATCCCCAACCATCTGATTGAAAGATGACCGACTCCACCACTGAGAATGATCATTAATTTAACGCTTGTGTAGCTAATTGTTTAGCATTAATACATTGACTCATATAAATATATGTGCAACCGTCAATAACTCCTACTTCTTAAATGCATCCCAGTGCAAAAGGACAGGCAAAAATATAATAGATGATAATGATAGTGAACAAATCAGTGAAGCAGATGTTGCCATTTACAAGTAATGAGGACTTCTGGTTGGTTGGTGTTGTCTTATTTAGTTTGTTGTTTGTTTAGTGTTTTATTCAGGCCTGTAACCTCAGTGAACAAACTTGCTAGCTGGCTAGCAATACACCCTTGATCTTAACCTAAATGTGTTGGTGTCGAATGGCTTTTGCTCAAGAAAGCTAAAATTAGATTAGATGGGCCAGGACTTATTAGCCTGGTAATGAAGAAAATGGACCCGCAGGTTCAGTGTTGTCCCTCTTTTTCCTCCCAGTCAGGAGGCGAGCAGCCACATTTCGAACCAGCTATAGGTGTACAAAGAATTGTAGTTACTGAGTTGACAGATTATAAATGCATGGATCACACTCCCTGAATCATTAGTTGAGAGAAAGGCAATTACTATAAATTTTACTATGAATAAACTTTGCTATAAATCTCAGGTTAGCTATACTTAACAATGGAAGAAATCTGCCTGTCAAACTTGAAAACACTGTCAAATAAACACCAAGACTCTAAAATAAATGTTGGCATTAGGCTAAAGGTCCAAGAAGACCATTATTGGGTTGAGGAAGTTGAAGCTCTTTGATGCTTTAATATCATTTAGATTGTCAAGCAAGGGCTGCAATGAGCCCTACCTTTCATTTTTAAGGGCATTCTTCATCCAACAAAAAAATGCTAACGATGCTCTTGGCTACTCTTTGCCTAAGTTTGTATGGTAAACACATAGCCGAACACCATATTAGTGCTGACATTAAGGTGCACAAAACCAGTACAATATATAAAATATTTCGAGAAATATAGACATTCTCAATAAATAACATATACCGTAGTGATTGTGCAACTGTCAAATTGTTTGTATGTTTTTTTTGGTCCCCTAGTGGTCAAAATTGATTAATGACATTTTCAAGGTCAAAAAAGGTGTTCTTTCTTTTCCTCCGGCACCTGTTAGCCAAGAGCACCTTTTTCCTCAATAAAGGTTTTTGTTTAAAGTATATCTCCAAAAAGTCAACAAGAAAGGAAAGTAAGAAAAGTAATTATACAATATTTAAAGGAATGTTTCTCTCACTGACATCCATTCAACCTTCATCTTACTCTCTGAAATACTTCGATTGCATAAGAAGTCCAGAAACTTTTTAGGCTCATAAAGCGTCCTCAGACGTTTTCATGCTACAGCAACGTGACACAACAACAAAAGAAGATTAACTTCACACCATCTACCGGATCAAGTCAAGATGTCACCTCCAAATCAAAGAAAGAAAAGCTGATTTATGTAGTGTGACGGAAACACACACACTCACACACACACACGCTAGAACGCAAACAAACAAAACATGCTCAACATGCACACACAAAAAACACACTCCCTGATGCATTCAAACCCACTGATAAGGGATTCTAAATCTGGTCTAGAGTGATTACGAGGTCCTTCGAACAAATCATCAAATAAGATTATAGAAAGAAATGAACAGTGTTGTAAATAGACACTGCTCCTGTATGTTTATTATTTATTGATAAATATGATCTGAGGGCAGTGAAAAAAATCTTCTTATCTTAGCCATGTCATGTGTAAATCTTTTCGTAATTTTTATTTTGTATTTCAATTTCCCTGTTTTTCAGCAGTAGCAGAAGTGTGACTGGTAATAGTAGGAAAACAAATGTGTTACTGATGATAATATTAATGTTCATGACATGTAAGGCAGCATGCACAACACAAGGACTCTGAAACTGCAGCAACAACTTTATTTGTAGTGCTAAAACCTGTGATTTTTTTTTACCCTGACATTTTAAAAATCTGTGCCTGATTTCCTTCAAGCAGAAGTTGGGTTAACGTATGTCGTGAATTGTGTTTTGTTAGAAGACTTTATTTACTTTTAACAATTAACATTCTCCCACCCCAAAAGCTAACATTTGAATGAAGATGTTAAGGAAGCCCAGTTTCACTATGCTAGATGTAAAGATTTGTTTCATTACCTGGTACACTCTTTTCCAATATATATGATAAAAAACAGTATTTTGCATCCCTGCTTAATGCTTTTATTTTGCATAAAACAGTATTTGAAATGTTGTTTTGCTCAAATTCTTATGCTTCATCTACTGTCAATGTTTGTGTCTAACCCTAACCCTCTATGATCTAGCTGTTGGATTGGACTTTTAATGTAAAATGCCATCTTATCTTCTTTGATTCTATCATTTCAACTTTAAATTGCCCTCTCAAATAGAGATATTAAAACCCTTTCAAGTGACTTCAAGGAGAAAATATTGGCATTCATGACGATTTTTACAAATATTTTTTTCCAAAATAACTGCAGAGATGAATTTTAAGAGTAAAGGTCCTTTTCAAGTTTAAAAACGTCTCAGAGCTCCCAAAAACATGTCTGTGAAGTATCTTGCTATAAATCCACTCTAATCCTGTATTTTAGCATGCCTATAAACCCCTCTATTTTAGACTGGCACAGAACAGGCTGTTTAGGTGTCTGTAGCTTTAAATGCAAATGAGCTGTCAGACCACGCCCCTCTCAGTAACGCCTAGGGCGGCTAGGACTTTCTTGCTCCATGCCCTATTATTTACAGTGAGAAAGCAAACTCAGAGGGCAGAAAAAACACCTAACTGTGGGAGTGTCACCCACCTGGGGGAGGGGTTACTGCCCCTTGTGATGTCATGCAGGGAGAAATCATCAAACAGCCTGTTTGAGCACACATTTTCTGAAAAGTGGAGCAGGCAAAAGACAGAGGATGGACTTATCTCATAATTGGGGGGTTTGTAGACAGGCTAGAGACACGTTAGCGTTAGAAAGACACAGTAAAGTGTATTTTGCATATGAGACCTTTAAGTTTAATTTAAACAAAAAGACATGACTCTATACTTCTTTCCTTTATATTTATTCTTAAAAATGAGTAAGCAGACAGTTCATGTGTCCTGTGAATACCAAAATGTGTGTAGAACAGTACAGAACAGTAACACCTTTCATTATATTTCTATAACAAGATCTTTTGAGCGCCATATCCCAAGTCAAAACATAGAATGTATTCTTTTTAATACAGCAATTTTAAAAGATCTTTCATCTCAAGAAATAGACCACAGGTTCCTAAAAAGAGATGTAAAAATGTACATCAACACGATCAGTGTTAAACAGCAGGCTCTATGTTTCCGATGCACAGGACTTAAAACTTGCACTAACATCAGTGAGGAGGTGATAATGATGATATAATGCATCAAAACCAGAGGGACCAATCACATGTTTAAGAGGATATCACAGCTTAGACAGGAGGGGCTTCGGCCATTAATCACTTCCTCGATATCCCTCATTACTTACTCGATCGCACACTTCCTCAGCTCATCAACCCCTTATGTCTTTATCTGCTCTCTTTGCCTCCTCCTGAAAAACTGTAAAGAGAGAAATTTGAGTTCATCCCCTCCGATGCATTCCTCTGATTGCATTTTCATCAGGAAACAAGGACAAAGGGAAGAGAAGGGAAGGGAAGGGGAGCGAGAAAGTCGGACAAAGCAAGCAAGAAAGGGAGGTAGGAAAACTTGAATTCATTCGAGTGCTGATTGACTGAGGCTGTTTTTGACTGAGATAGATCAATGAACAATGAGACCAGCTCATTGACAACAGACTGTGGTCCCCTACCCCAACACAACGACAGACAGTATCATAAAAATATGTCTTTTTTTTTCAGTGAGGTTTACAATGTCAGAAGAAAGGTCACAGAAGCATTAATCAGTAACCAGGCTATCTCTGATGCACAGGTCTGTGACGAAATATAAACCATTCAGCTGCATCATATGAGGCCTGTGTTATTGCCCAAACCCAATGTGACAAAGAGAAGCCAAAGACAGAACAAAAAGTGAGAGGAGTGGGGGAGGACAAGCAGAGGATGAAGATGAGAAGGAAGGACAGCGAGAGAAACGAGAGAAGGGGACAAGTAGAGAGAATAAAAAGAGAGGGGAGGAGCAGACAGATTGGTTTTGAAACGCTCATTTGATCGACGTCCATCTCTTCTCTACAGGCGGAGTGAGAAATAAAAATCCTGGCGGGGGGGACACACACGTCTGTCTGTCATTCTGTGTTAGGCTCAGCATAATTACTGTGAAATGACAGAGAGCCACGACTTATAGGAGGGCAGCTAGAGGAGAGAGAGGTGTGTTTTTAGACTCGGCCCGCAAGTCACTGTGCTATTTTCGGACATGTGAACATATGTAGCAAAATACTGGAAATGTAAAATTGAAGATGACCAAAAATAAAGGAAATGGGTTCAGAGAGTATTTAAACTTTGGCCTACTTTCTTCCGTCAATCAATATTACTGTAACATCCCATTACATTGGTTCTATGGAAATTACCAAAGCCCTCAAAGACCCACTATATCTTAACACGATGATCAACAACCTCATGGTATAATTCAGTTACATCCAATAAGCATTTTTTTTAGCTTATGTTGCTTAGAAATAACATTGATTTCAAGTGAACAAGAATAACCTAAGGCCCCAAAACGCTTTATAGCCCTCACAGCCACGACTGGGTAAGATAAAGTCCATAACTCTATGTACAACTCATGTTCAGGGTATGCCCTCCTATAGCCTACTAACATGCAATGCAGTGTTCCTCTCAACACAAGAAAACTATGTAGAATGGTCCTCAAGCTGCTACATCTTAGTCACATTTGGGTACCTAGTACCTACACGAGAGGCACAGCACTTTGCCAATGAATGTCACCGTAAGCCTTTACAACACACCACAAAGTGTCTAAAGGCCACAACACTAGTGTGAACAATACTGACAAGGTACCAAGACAACTTTTTAACCATATATTGAATGTCATCAAACTGTTTTAAAAATATTAATGGTTAGAATAGAAAGAAACAGTTGCTTTAGTCGCAATGTTAACTGAAAACAACAAATGTGTTATCAAAGTTTGTGCAAACCAGAAGCAGACTATAATCATGTGATAACTTTTCCTTTGTTTCCTTTTTTTTGTACAAAACAAAATGAACACTCCCAGTCATTTCTCCTGTTTTGTGTTGTGTTGGATTATGTAGTTGTTCGCTGTAGTTTCCGGTTGATTGACTTATTGTGAAGACGGCAGGCAGCTTGGCTGGCCAGTTGGGCGGTCAGTTAGAAATGCGTCTCCTTCTCTGAGATGGTGGATATTTTCCCATCAGCCTTGAGTTTGGCGTCATTGGCAGCATAAGGGCTTAGAGCGGCGAGTTTCCCTCTCATTTTCAGATCTGGGCTTGGAGTTGTCAGCTTCTTTATTCTCTGCAGAGAGGATTGAGAGAAAAGAGGTTATCTCTTAATCTACCAAAACAATGCCACTCCAATAAGCAGCTTTGAGCAGGTACAGCTTATGCATGAAGTCATACACTTTGAAAGGAACCAGGAGAAAGCATCAACAAAAATGAATCCAAATTCTAAAACTGAAACATATGCAGACCATTACATTATGACAAATAAAATAAACCACATTTACATGCATCATTTCTCAAACCATTGCTATGCAGAGGATACCAAGCTCTTTTTGTAATTATATCCAGATGACAATACAGTCTCCACCCTGATTTGATCATGCCTTGAAGATATCTCTACCAGGATGAAAGACATTCCTTGCAGATATCTCTACAAGGGTGAAAGATCGCCACCTTCAACTCAAGCTATCAGATATTGAGCACCTTATCATCCCGGCCAGTCCCTCTATGCAACGACAGATCGATAATCAGCTTGGACCGACCAAACTTGAACCAACAAAGTCTGCCTGGAACCTATAGGTAACATGATTGATGACCAGCTATATTTCAAGGTTCACATGGTCTTGATTGCTAGGTCATGTTGATATGCCCTGTGCAAGATCAGTAAGATCAGACCAACCCTCCAGAGCATGCGACACAGCTCCTGGTGCATGCTCTTGTTATGAGCATGCGACTCCCTATTGGCAGGGCTTCCTGCACACTCAAACCTCTACAAATGATCCAGAACACAGCAGCTCAATTGCTCTCCCTCCACTCAGATCAATCAAAGGCTACACCAATGATATCTTACATTAGAAACTGGCAATTTGCTTATTTGACCCTCCTTTGAGAAATGATGGGAGATCGTCCAACTGAGACGCAATCCCTCTTAGAAAATCAGATGTGAGAAATACAACAGCTGGATTCCTTACACTCCTTTCCTCCATTACAAGGGTCTAGGTGGCACAAGTATGATGATTCCTGATCCCGATTCCAGTTCTGCTTCCACAAAAACAGCTCTCCCTCGAATAACATTTATGATCTTCTTCTACTGCCTTTATTGATCTCTTTTTCCAAATGAAACATATCAAACTGTCCGTTGCTGTTCGGAGTGAGGAAAGAACTGCTCAGTTGTAATGCAAGTGGTATGGCTGACAGTTAAATTAACCAGAAATCAAAACCTTAAACAACCACAATACAATTTTTACAACGTTTATCACACTTTATATTTGAACCATAGAAAAGGGTTCTGCTAGATTTGCTGAAGACACACAAGAAAATATTTGCTTAACTGCCCTAGAGACATTCTACTCTTCATAAATATTGTGGAAATAAGGAGAAATCAGTGAAAATAATAATGGAAAGGACACTGTATACCTCTTATATACATCTTTCAGGAAGTCTATGATCTATGTGAAACCAAGGAAGGAAAGATCGAAGCCTGGAATGAATCAGGGACATTTTTGTTCAGTTTTAAAGCTAAATGGTTCATCTGAATACTCTGATTCATTAACTACAAGTAATTACTTGTATGCTAATGCATCTATAGTTTTATGTGACGTGATAAAAATATAGCTATATTCGATAACACATGAGCATTACTGTAAGTCATTCAACTACAGACTTGTAATGGAACAGCTGTGTGACATTTTCCCTTTAGTAAAAGACCACTTGTAAAATGTGTAAGATCTTGCGTGTTTTACCTCAGAAAAGGTTCCAGGAGTCTTCCAGATCATCCAGATCATCCCCAGAGGAATACAGACCATCGAGGACATGGCCATGAACCAGCCAATACCGTAGCCCCAGTCAGGGTAGGTGTACACGTTGTTGTACTTCAGAGGCTTGTATTTAATTAGGAAGAACAGGAAAATAGCCTGCAGCAGACATAAAATGAAGCACCATTTATAGATTTTATTTACACTGTGAAAAGAAACCCCCATTTTTGAATAGAGGAATTTTAAGTGGGTGTGGTGATGTAACTCATGTTGGTGTATGTATAAACAAAAAAAGTTTTGTTTTCAGTATTTTTGCTTGCTTCAAGAAGTACTTAACCCCAAAATAGAATGTTGTAGGCGTACACGCCAAATGAAACCTCTATAGAATAAAACTTAACTTTATCCATAGAATGATCTTTACAGGAAGAACCATAATCAAATTCAACACTTTTATCCCAACATTTAAATCTGCTCTTCATATGAATTTCAACCAATATGATGAATTCAGACAGGAATCTCCTGAAAGTTTCTGTCCTTCATTATTCAAGGCTTATTTACATTATACAGTGTTTGCATTCTGTAATGCAATAGTAATACTGCTCTTGATTTTGTGTCCACAGTGAGACTCACAGCACAGATGCCCGGGGTCAGGATCATCCAGCACCATTTGATGAAGAAGACAGGTTTGTGGCCGATCATGTCCTCAATATTAGAGTAGAATCTGTCACTACCTGAAATGCAAATATCGAGACTTAAGAGTTTCTGCATGGATCATCACAGTAATATAATGATTGATGTATTTTGACAGTATGAGGCTGTCGTCATAGAGCTGCCACTACTACGTGGACACAATTTAGTTTTACACTCCCCGAGAGACAGCCCTGATTCATGTGAAACATTCCTTACCTAATACTTCATTAGTGTTTTCTATCAAGTCACGCAGACAATTGAAAGACAGAATTAAAAGCCTTTCTCTTTGTTTAGGGCAAGTTTAATAGAAAAAAGGGTGTTTTGTTTGCTGAAGAAAAATACAAAATGGCAATCATTCACACTGCTGTGATGACATAATTTCTAATTACAAATAATAGTGTGCCTTGTATTACAACAGGGGAGTCAGGAATGTATTTAAAGCCATTCTCCAGCAGAGGGCAGGGAAGAAATACGATTGCAGGAGGGATGTTGTAGCATGACACAATGTTTGTGAAACAACCTTTTCTTCTGTGCAGAGATGTCTAAAATGTGTTTTTATTCAAATGTGAATCTACTTTTATCTGTGGTGACAAGTATGACAAATAAAGTTACATAAAATTTACATATTACATATTTAGTTACATTTTAACTGGAGACTGATATCTTACCGTACACCCAGCCGATACATATGGACTCAAATATGGCCACAAACAGCAAACACATCCCACTAGCAGCGTACGAGTCGAACAGCTGGAAGACATACATCCCTCCCTGATAGGAGGAGACAGGTGTCAGTTTCCTGTAACAGACGTTCAAGTCTCAGACTTGATTAGATCACATTGATTTTGAAGGGAATAAGGTGTGCTTGATTTGGTTGTCAGAGACTGACAGCATTATTGCTTCGATTACATTAACAGAGATTTCCTCCTGAATAGACCGCAGAACATTAACTCTGTCAGTTACGAGTACTAAGTTGTTGCTAGAAAATGTGTACTAAATAAAACATCTATACAGTATGTTGTTATATTAGTATTTTGTTATTGCATGTTATGTCTATGTTATGTCTACACACACTGTCCTTAGGTACATTCTGGCTGTGACACACATACTGCAGAAAAGCATTTTCAGCTAGCATAATCCTTTTTTTCCCATTTTTACTGTAGGCATCTCTGTTCTGTGTAATAATCGTGCACTGTAACACATTCCTGGATGATGAAGTTGTTTGCCTTTCGTGAAATGAACTAATTTGCTATACCCGATTTAAATCTGTCAGTTCATAGGACACTTCAGTTACCCTATGAGTCATGACAATTTACCAGCATTTTCAAGGGTATGGATATAATATAATAATATATTTTGTTATATTTTGTGTAAATTGTACAAGTTTAAGAAAAACGATGTTCCCATTATTTACAGTCTTTGCGCTAAGCTAAGCTAACTGACATGCCGTAGCTTTAAATACTGTACAAGCTTGGTATTAATCTTTTAATCTAATTCTCAACATCCCCTTTGTAATAAATATAATGGCAATAGGTACTATTGCTTTAAAAGACTCCATTGTTTCATGTCAAGAGTGGTGCTCACATTTTGCAGACACTCTTCCATATCCTACCTCGAATCATGACTACTTATCTTTTCATTCTGCTTCCACTAAAAGGCTCATCATAAATAAAAACCTCACATGAATCTGAGAGCAGGGTTACATCACAGCTCTGAACTCCCCATAAACAGCTCAGAATATCATCAAAATGTCTCAGAGACTGTCTTCATGCCCATTCTTTAGCCAGGTATTGAACTACACTCTCGGAGGACCTTTTGAACTGTGATTTAATCCTACTCTAGTTCATTCATGATGGCTCTTTGGCAGCAGAAAGGACTCAAGTGTTCAGAGTGCACATAGAGCTGAAAGTAAAAGCAGAGGGAGCAATTGGCAGTTCTTCTATATGGGTGACACAGATGTGAATGGGCAATGACAAACAGAGGTCAGCTGAATGGACAATGCAGAAGTCTGTGACAGAGTAAGTACTGTGCTTTAATATTGCATTAAACTCTTTCTCCTGTTTCATGGGTATTACCACTATGGAAAAGTAAAACACATTAACACTGGAGGTGAGTGGAGAGAAGTGAATATCGACACATGAGATGCTTTTAGTGGATGACAGAACTTTTTGATAGTGTCAGGTTTCTACTCCATTAAGACATTAAGACGAAGCTCTGGATGTGTAACTGAACACAGACCTTTATGATTTACAAGAAGTCTTTCAGAATGACTGGAAACAGGGGTGGACCACATAATCAAAATATGAAGTTATTTTAATGTAACTGTCTGCCTTTACTTTTATCATTCAGATTACTGGCTGCTCATCTACAAAATACCTGGCTGGATTGCATCCCAGACATGTGAACAGGAGGTAGAAATGATGGCCGTGAAGATGATGATGATAATGACAACCATGATGATATGTCTACATAGAAATAAAAGACACAGACATGATGTAAAGGTTAAGAAAAAAAATCTCATCTGAAAAGGAAAACGTAATGGGCAACCGTTTCCCCACTTCACTCCTGAGAAAGACGCATCATTGTCCTTAATCTGTACCTGTATCTGTTCAACCAACAAAATGAAGTGGGCCTGTTTTTTGGGGAATGTCACATTAAATTGGTAAAATGTTTTATTCTGTAAACTGATATTCATAGGCCCTGCAATTGTTATCATTTCAATGCATCAAATACATCTAATATTGGTATATAATCAATAGTGATACATAGTTTTACTCCCTCATACTAATAATGTGATCTCCTTCTCTCCATTTTTTCATTGACAGTAACAGGTAACTGTTAGGTAGAAAAAATAGAAGACATGTTTCTGGGCTTTTTCCCCAAATAATGCATTTAGATTATTTTACAGCTTTTGAGTTATGTTGGATGAACCTGTCTGTATCTATTTGATTTTTTCTTACTGTTTTTCATTAAATACCAAAGAAGGTACAAATATAAGTTGCAAAAAAGTGCTTTTTTGGACCACACATTATATAATACATGTTTCACCTTGACCTCTATTAATAGCTGAGTCTTACCTCTGTACACATGATGAGTCCTATGAGGAAGGAGACTATGGACATGCCCAGAATCAGTAGCTCTCTGCGGTAACCTCTCCTGAAGGTCTCTGGGTACATGTCCACCACAGCAGTCACCAAACTCTCCACACACACAAACTGTAAAACAAATTAAATGAAAAATTAATTATCTTAGTGGGAATTGTTTTTCTTCTTGACTGATGGCAGAGCCTAGTTTGATTTTTTTTTTTTTAATTAGAATTAGAGATCGTTATTATAAGCTCACACTTTCCCAGAATTTTTCATCCATTCATCCATCCTCATCCATCCACCCACCCAGCCACCCATCCACCCAATCCATCCACCCACCGATCCATCCATCCATCCACCCATCCACCCAATCCTTCCACCCAGCCACCCATCCACCCAATCCATCCACCCACCGATCTATCCATCCATCCATCCACCCAGCCACCCATCCACCCAATCCATCCACCCACCGATCCATCCAACCACCCACCCACCCATCCATCCACCCACCGATCCATCCAACCACACGCCTACCCACCCAATCCATCCAGCTACCGATCCATCCATCCATCCATCCATCCATCCATCCATCCAAATCCATCCATCCACCCATCCATCCATCCATCCACCCACCCACCCAGCCATCCATCCATCCATCCATCCACCCACCACTCATCTATCCATCCATGTCATTAATCAGTAGTAATAACATCATCACACACTACATGATAAATTCAAGGTCCAAAAATTTAAATAACACAATTTGGAGAAAACAAATCCAATCAATACATAATCATACTTTGTATTCTGTAGACTGAAAAAAACAAACTTTAGTTATTGAAAGTTATTTCAGCCAAAACATTGAGTATACCTTTTTCCACCAACAGTCCAAACTTTCTAACTTTTAAAAAATATGAAATATTTGTATTCTTACCTGGCTGTCCAGACCGAGGAATATAAGCATCATGAAGAAAAGACAGGCCCAGAGTGGAGACAGAGGCATCATAGTTACAGCTTTGGGGTAAGCAATGAATGCAAGACCAGGACCTGCATCACAAAGCATTAACAGGAATTTCAGTGCCCTACCTTACAGTATAGCAATTTAGTTCAAAGTACTCATGGTGTTTTGTTATTTTTGTTATCTCTCGCTAGGAGATGACTTGCATGCTCTGCCTGAGTGCTCTGTACTTGTGACATAGATATGATGAGATAATGTAACATTTTAAAAACACATGATCTTAAACATTAAGCTCTGTCCTCCCCATGAGCAAATACAAACGTTTCAAATCTCTCACTCTGTCATATTCACTAAATCATTCATATGGACTTAAATAAATCATTATGGGGTGGTCTAAGTTAGGTGAAGTTATATAACCGGTTATGTTTAACCATTTTATCCCGATGTGAAGGAAGGGGCACAAAGATTCAGTCAGGCTTTCTCTAGACTAAAGTATATGCTGTGAGTAAAAGGTAAAACCACATTACAGGTCTGGTAGTTTTTTATTTCGATTTTGATGGAAAACACAATCATTTTTCTCTTACCAGATTCTGCCACAGCCTCGATGGGAACACCTTGCTCATAGGCCATAAAACCCAGCACAGAGAAGATAGCAAAACCTGCTACGAAGCTGGTGCCGCTGTTTAGACAGCACAGCATGATGCAGTCCCTGAGAAGCAAAATATAGAGACCTTACAGTAATGGCAACGCACACTTTATGCCTCAGTAAATCTTTTCCGTGGACAATGTGCCAATCAATCCAGTCTCATTTATTCATTTTTCTTCCTCCTTATATTCTTTGTATTTGTTGGTATGCGGTGGATTAAGTAAAACATAAGACATCATTTTACTTATTTATATGTGTTAATTATCATCGGTCTTGTAGTATCCAGACTCTACAATTACCTGTAGCAGTTGTTGTTGTAAGCATTGTAACTTCCCAGAGCAGTGAGACAGCCCAAGCAGATGGCATAGGAGAAGAAGATTTGGGTTCCAGCATCCACCCATACCTGAAAAAAATCATAAACATACAGTACGTATACAGGTTGTAGACAAATACGTATACTAACATCCAACAAAAAGGCTTTTTACCAGCAACAAGACCACCTTTAATACTCCTTGGCATAATAACTTCAACTGTACTGAGACAATTCTAAATTATATTCCCTCCCTTGATGTTTTCAATCAATTGCTTGAAGGAAGAATGTGTGACTTTCTGATCCAGTAGATGTCGCCCTTGAGCACTAGAATGAAACCAAAACAAACCTTTCCTGCACTTCCGCCATACTAAAAGCCTCCGCTCTCCTATGGCGACACACCTTCAACCTCCCTCACGTTCGCACACAGGAGTTAAGCACAAGCGACGTCCTTGGCTTGAGCTGCAATTGCCTGTGGCCTGCATTGTTGGGTTAGCAAGCTATTGTTAGCACACTTAAGTTAGCTCGGAGCTTTACATTGCATATAAATTGACATGGAATGATGTGATCTAAAACGGTTTTGTTGACATCAAAGTAAGTAGTGAGTGGGCTAGGTTACTTTTTTTTTTATCTAGTCCTTGAATAAAACATCTTTATATGCAAGGAGATGAATCTGCTGTCCTGTCAGTGTAAACCTGATGTAAACACGGCTCCAAAAACAACACAGTTGGTGGGACTTGCGCTTCTCACTCATTGCAGACAGTCATGACTCAGAGAGACATTTGCAGAGGATATTTGATTTCAATCTGGTGATTTTGAAGACTTAAGTGTATGATGATCGTTGACTTCATACTCCCTAAACTTTTCACTGTTTTAGGTTATAACGGACACTTTTCACTGTACTGGAAAGACTGATATTGAAGTTACAGACAGTAAACATAGGAACACAGAGAGAAGTTGCTATAGCATACAATAACGTTGTTTTGTAAAAAAAAAAAAAAAAAAAAAGCTAGGAACTTTGCAGTTAGAAAGTAATCATTTTAACCACTAGCCCACAACAATGACATGTTGCCTCATCTAGTACAGTTTTTCTTTGATTAACACACAGTACACAAATACAACAACAAAAAACAACGCAAACAATGTTTCTTATGTGAACTACATCAAAATTGTCCTCATTTTGTCATCTTTTACTATAGCTTCTCGTTTAATCATCACTTCTATACTGTCGCTGACAGTCAATTCTCAGTGACACTTCTTAAGTTAATTCAATTACCTATTTACAAAAAACGGCTTAATGAATTTGAAGAGATTACTGTGATTCGTCAGTGGGTGAGCTTTTATCTGCTAATGAAACCCCCGGAATTCTTTTTCTTCCCCTCATCTACCTGATTTTCATCATCTCAGTGGCTTTGTAATGAAATTATGGCTCAACTCAACCGTTTTCTTCCCCTCCAAGAGGCACAGCATGAATCATAGATTAACATCCTAAAAGTAGATACAAAGTCTAACAGTAACCAAATATTCCCCTTTCCATTCACTAATTTATTCCTGACCACTTTTTTGGTGGAGAATATATGCAGTATACTATAGGCTTTACTTATTCTTTTTATAGGCCGAATACGTACATCTTTATTATTTGTACCTTTCTACCTCAAACCGTTGGCAGTTGAGCGTCAACATAAGTAGAAAGTTAGGGGAGTCTTTGCACTTTCAAGTGGAGACTATGGTTCCCATCCTGTCGATTAACAAAAGTAAATGCCCACGGTTGACTGACCATTACTATGGCGGACTGGAAAATTCAGTCATTGTTTAATGTGCCCCATGTTTTGTGGGTATTATTAAACACTATATTTAGTCATATAGATCATGTGAGAGATGACTTGTTGGTCTGTAATCAGCTGCTAAACTAACATGCTAATTCTACATCTGACCAGTTTTCTGTATGTACGAAACGGACGTAGCCCTGAGCTTCAGGAGAAAAGTCAGTGTTGAGGTGCTCTGAACCTACATTTTTTTTTAGTGCCTGGGGGAGACGCCAGCGTTTGCAAAAAGAAGTTTGATTGTATGAAATGAAATAGTAAATTAAGCCTTCTTCTCAGTGTCTTTACTACCTTAGTATACATTTCCTTAATGAGTTTGTGGTCTGATCTCCACTGTTATTTTAAGTCTTCTTTAGTACAGTTAATTATGGAACTAGTTGTCCCATTTTTAGAATAGTCGTCCTTAGCGCTGGGTATGTTTCGTGCTAAGCTAATTAGAAGAGAGACGTTAACCATTTGTGTCCAAACTCGTTCACTTGTGCCCAAAAATCCAAGAAAAAAAAGGGGGGAAAGAGGAAAGGCAGACCATTGGGTGTTGCCGCAGAGTGGCAATGTTCTCTTCTATTATAAAGTCTACGATCTGACCTTGCAATCTTCACAAAATGGAAATTCTTCAAGGGTTCTTAGATTTTTTTTAACTTCCTGTAGTAGTTTAATTCCCTTAAGGGTTGCAGCTTGTCCCAGTATACACTGTGCTCAAGTAAAAGATCCAGGATAGATCCCTGGTTCAATGCACGTATTGTCTTAAAAAGACGAATTGTCATATTGTTAGCAGATGTTTCATGAGCACAGTTTAATAGTAAAATTTTAAAAAATTTGGAGTAAAATGCAAGCTCTTCTTCACTTTTAAATTCAAGTTAAATGGATCCAGTCTCTGTTGTTTTATTTAAAGGCTTCATGTAAATTTACAAATGTTAAATTCTTCACCAAGACAGCAGTGAAATGTTCTTTATGAAAACAAGTTTTGTTGAGTACAGGTCCACAGAACCTGCAGGATAGCATGGAGTCCTAGCGAATTCAAACTTAATGCAGCATGGCTCTTTGAAAACTCTCTCACATCACCATTCAGCTACTAATCTCATTTCCCCACCGAGAAACAATTAACAAACGCACGGTCTTCTTTCCCTCCTGGGAGTAACCACGGTAACTTCTGTGACCTCACAAACACAGGATTGTTCCTGTGGAAGAACAGGCCTTTCTCTCCTAATGTTCATTAATGTTCCCTTTAGTTCACCCTCGGCTGATGCCCGCACAGCGCAGGGAAATCTTAAAGGCCCAGGCTCAGAGAGAATCACTTGTTGATGTTGTGCCTAATTTGGCCAGCTTGTGTTTGGTCATGTTGAGACTGTGGCTCCAGGACACATTTCTATTGTGAGTAGGCTGGATGGGATTGGTTATAAGATAGTGTTCTTAAATTGTAAATTAACCACTCTTGGTGCCCTCATGTCCAATAAATAAATCTATACATTAGATATATTTAAATGTGAAGTGTGACATTGAGACATGTCAGAAAGGAAAACAAATTATTAAAGGGTTAGATTTTACACTTTAGCTTGGAGACATATAATAAATGTTATCATGGTTATGGTAAATTAAAGATATTAACTTCTTATTGTTCTAATTGACAGGTCCCCTCCAGGAATGACTCCAGATAGGGTGGGTCATGTCTAATATGTTTTTTGATAAATAAATTAAAAAAAAGCCTCTGATAATAAAATTGCATCTACTCCTTCTATTTGATTTCAAAACTTTAACTTGTGGATGGATACTAATTGTTTAAAATGAGCTACCTCTACAAACATATCAAGGGGTCAATGATGTATTGATGTCTTTCAGATGTGGTCTCTGTCTTTGACTTAGAGGAGTACCACACAAAAGCACCCTTGAACTAGCTGTATTGCGCCTTAAGGAAAAAAAACTCATATTCTGGAAATGCGAATGAAAATAGATATTGACTTTCGAAACAATCACTTTGGAGAGATGGAAGGGGAAAGACACAAATAGAAACTCATTTTCAGTTATAACATATACAGATAACAGGGAAGGATGAGCATACAAAGTGTGAGATGTGGAGAGGAGGGCGGTGATGCACAGCTCAGTGTTGAGGGTGAGAAGGCGGGAGACAGCCGGGGAAAGAAAGGTATAGGGTAAAAGTAGAAGAGGGGAGGCATGATGAAGCTGGGGAGAGTGGCTGACACACAGCCACACACACACTCGTTACAGCCTGGTGAACAGAACAGAGCCCTGATTGTCCCTGAGGAAGCTAATTTAACATTGGTGTCAGAAGTAATGTCTTCCTCTGCCAAACAGCAGTGCTGCTTTATCACCCTCCTTCACTCTCTCTGTGCCTCTGTTTGCGTCTTTGTTGGGCCATCCATTTCTTTCGCACTCTCACACTATCTGTATTCCTGTGTTCTCTTGTCTAACTTTACCTCATTCACAGATGCTACAGTTATCCAAGTGGATAACAGCTGGGGAGCTATTAAATAAGAAAAAGCAAATCTTACACAACTTTATTGTTGTGTTATATGTAGAGGTGAATTTAAGCAAACGCTAACAGACAGAGATCCAAAGTAAATGTTCTGTCTTATACGAACAAAAATTGTGCCAAGAAACTGTATGTTCCTAACACCTTTGCCCGAGATGTTGTGTGAAATAGACGGGCTCATCTGTCTGCACATTTGCTGACTGAATATTCCTTATGATTGAATCCAAGGCCTCTCACCCAATGAAGACTGTTAAACAGGTGTTCAGACAGGAGAGAGGAGTCTGAACAAGAAGTCACATTTGAGCTTATACATTCTTGAAATCTTGTAATATTTTTTAAATTTACCAATAAAAAGTCTCCTTTTTGCAAGCATGAAAACATTATACAAATGGGAGTCAACTCATATCATCTTGAGTTAATTAAACAAGGTGCAATGTTCAATTCTTGCCTGCTATAGTTATTTTTACCTGCTTGAATTACTCCTGTTGCCATTAGATCTTCTTAGATGTGGCTGGCTAACTAGCTGGTTTATGATATAAAATGATAGAAAAAAACACGCTCTTCTGGGATGGACTAGTACCTATATTAGACAAGTATAAATTAGTCCCACCTGTGTATACGGAAGAGCGTCTGCTCGAAACTTCTGTGTGGCAATTTCATTTTGGAGTGCTGTCCTTATTGTTTTTCTTGTTCTAACTAGCTGGTTACGGAGTATTATTTCAGAGATTCGGTTGAGTTTAGTTGACTTTGTAGTGAAGCCATCTCATTAGAATCTTGTTGAAAAAGTTTAAGCTACTGTGAGGAACGTTCGGTTTGTGTCAATTTTGGATACGTCTCTGGACGAAGCAGTAATCTCTTCGTTGATGTCATAGTGTACATGTAAGTAGTATTTTTAACAAAAATATCTGCTTTCTTTTCATAGTCAAAAACATTACTTATCAGTCATTTTTATGGTGTAAAATGTAAAAAAGGAAAGGCTGTTTCTGTAGCATGCTGTTAATCTCCATAAAAAAAGGAACTATATAGAAATAACGAGTCTTCTTGTTGATGATCAAATTTGTTTGCTTTCACATAAAGTGGAATCAATATTAATTTCAGCCTGTTTCATAATCAGTAAACAACTCCTAACCAGAGCTTCAAAAAGGTACTTGAGTACTTGAAAGCCACAAAGATGATATCCTTTAAAAGCCTCAACTAAAGCTAAATGTCCAAGGCATGAAGCTTTAGCAACATTAAATAGTTAACGATATTTCCCTTGACTTTGGAAATAAATAGTCAGTTTTTGTAGGCAGAAAGCAACCGTGTGATATGCCTAGTTACAATTACAGTTTACATACCAGAACAAAAACACCCTGTATAATTCCATCAAGACAAATTTGATCTTGTTTATTTTACTTTCTGGCAGAAAAAAAGGTTAATCCTTCTCACTAAAGTCTCATCTAGACCCCTTCAACATGTAGAGAAACCCTAAGATTGACACAGTGTATTTCCATCTCTATGTTCAGATCTGTGCTCGGTTTTTTTAACTGATATGCTTCATCTTTCTCATTTCAGGTTGTCATGACACCCTGTCCACTGACATTTTTCACTGTTGCCTAGCGACCCAAGCTGTCTGCCTTTTCCAGGCAAGGTCAAGGAGTCTACTCATTGTGAGTGAGTGTATCTGTCTGCATGAGTTATATGTTAATGCACCACCTCTATTAGCCTCATATCCTGAGCACACTGTTTACCTGACCCTTGATCATCTCAAATGTCAGCTTTGCTATCACAATAATGGCTCCATATCAATTGAGCCGGACCGTCTCAGTGATGCATAAATGATTATATGAAAATGATGTACCATTTATAATTTGGAAACCAGCATATTACTACCTTAAATGGACATGCAAGGAACTGATTTGTGCAGACATAAACATTTTGTCTGTACCATTTAGAGCATGACTGGGGTTATGTGTAATAAAAAAGGAATACTTTCGAATTGCACTACAGTTACAACACCACCACCACCACCTGTCCCTCTGGCAACTACTCAGCGTGGGTGTGAGGCAGGGGTATAAATTCCTTCTCATGAGTCCAGTATCTTTGTCCCCTCCTGCTTCACTCTGGTACTTTCTGCCTGTCGTGCATAAACTGTCAGAAATAATCACAGTTTTAGCACAGGGCAATCTCATGGATTCAACCCCTCTGAATAATATCAAGTAGTTTCAAGCTGCTAAATACTGTTGTCAAAGTTGAGGAAATGAAAATAATACAGACATGGGTTTACAGCAGGAGGGGTTTCAAGGATGTATAATTGATGTGTTCTCAGTATCACTGGACCTGTGTTTTTGAATATGCAGCTTCTGTCCAATCAAGATCAAGAATGCTTATAGCATTAACAGCGCAGGTTGTAATGACTTTGGCAAAGTTGAAAAATGTATTGCACACAGTTCTTTTTTCAAAGCTGCAATTTGTGCATGGGATGAGTCACATTTTAAACTTTAAAAAGCACTGATCAAAAGAGGAAAAAATACAGTTTGTGTGTCCTCTGACATCCATGATAGTCACTCTGGTGACTTCAAAAAGGGATGACGGGAGGCCCTTCCATACATGTAAATAAAGACAACAGCAGGGGCACATTAAAAATGAAGATAAAAGGTTTTAAAAGAGCAACCAGTACTCCTCCAGGAAGGTGGCATCATCTCAGTTGCACTAGACAATAGATTATTTTCACTGTTTGTCAAATATACAGAGGGTTCAAAGCCTACCTGAGGGTCAGAGAGACGTGAAATATCCGGGTAGAGGTAGAACTTGATGCCTTCATATGCACCTGGCAGCGTCACTCCTCTGATCAGCAGGACCAACAACATGACGTAGGGAAATGTAGCTGTCACATAAACAACCTGCAGGGATGAAACATGCACAATTTGGAATACTAATTAATGCCCAGAGTAAGAAACACACACTTTCAGTTACTGTTTAAACTTGATACATCTTGATAATGCAAATAAATTAAAGTCCAAGTGAAGCTTTGCAGAAACATTAAACCCACATCAGATTAATGCTGGCCTTTAAGCCAAAGGACAACTTCCCCATCCGCACCTTTTTTTTTTAAATATACAAATAATGCTTTACAGCTACAGGAAAGAGTTTGGATGAAAAGGGGGAAAAAAGGGGGGAAAGTTTTTCATTTTTGCTCCTTTGCAAATCAATGTCAAGAATAGAACAATATGCACTTTTAAGTTCCCTTAGGTCCTTAACAGCTTTAACATCGAGCAGGTCTCTATGAACATGGAATTAAACATTTTATACCTAAATATAACTGAATATTTACTTTTGCTCTATAGTCATCTTAAGTCAGACTAAAACGTAGTAATGGCTGAAAGTAAGCCAATAAGCCAATAACACAATAATATCAATCAACTTCTATTTATAGAGTGCCAAGTAACAATAGTTATCTTATGACACTTTACATATAAAGTAAATGGACTTCAGCTTGTGTAGCGCTTTCCTAGTTTTCTGACTACTGAAAGCGCCTTTTTCAACGCAGGTCACACCTAACCATTCACACCACATTCTCACTCTGATGGCAGAGACTGCTATGTAAAGTGTCCATCTGTAGTAACTAATCCATTCGTACACATTTTTTTGCTGCCGACGAAGCACCAGGAGCACCTTGGGGGCTAAGTGTCCTGCCCAAGGACACATCGGACATGTGGCTGCAGGGGCTGGGGATCGAAACCCCCGTACATCTGGTTGAGAGACAATCGACTCTACCAATTAGTCCCAGCCGCCCAATGAGCATAAACCAGGTCTATATCAGGCTTGGATCAGGGTAACAATGTCTATACATAAAATATGTTTATGTTTTACAATTTGTGTAAGGTATCTATGAAATAAATGAAAAATCATTGGAACCTCTGCAAATATACATACATCTTTCAACTGATTTCAGGCCAGTGTGTATCAGACCACCTCATCGCATCTATCATATAGCTTTTATCATCAGTCATAAAGCATAGCCTACAGCACTGCATTTACTTCATTTGGCCTTTTGTAAAATGCAAAAATGTCAACCTGTTTATTTGTAATCTGGAAGAATATAAGGATAGGATCATGAGCAAACACTCTTTACACATCTGGTAGACCATCATGCATGAAAAACTTCAGTACATTAAACATGACACATACCTTCAGTACAGTAGCTAGCACTCGCTAACTATCAAACAAACACTCCCCTTTTTATTGAACTATTCAGGTTGTGCAGAACTGTGCTCTACATCTCAAGACTCTAAGAAACCCCTTGAACAAAGACCCTGGCCTCTTGGAAGGCAGAGGCAGGCAACATACATCCCCTGGCTTGCTGGCATCCAGTCAAAGTCCAATTGAGGACAGAACAGGACAGAACAGAGCCAGGCCAGGAGACTGAATAGAAAAGAGGGCTCCTCTGGCCCCGTCTCTTGAACAGGAGAAGCCCAGAGGAGTGATGCTGGCAGTGTGGGAAAATGTGCTTCTCTTTGAAGCACCAACAGGAGTGCATGAGTACACACACACACACACACACACACACACACACACACACACACAACTTCATTCACAACATTGAAATGGTGTGCACATACTACTAGACAGAGATAAAGTGGACCATTCATTCACACCAACTTGAGCACACAATTATAAATGCATACGCACTTTAATTACTTGTACATCCCAGGTCACATTACTGTACAACAGCAAGCAGCAGTTTCATGAATGGAAACCACGTTTCAGGTTTTAAAAAGTCCGGTTCTCTGTTTCTGGATGGACAAGTGGGACTGATTTGAAATGCCAGTTCAAGTTGGATGTACTTTCAACCAATCTCATGTTATAACTTTAATCAAAACTTCAAAGAAGAACAAAATCCAAAACAAGGTAGTATTATAATGATATGGATCTATGTGACTTAATGAGACTGTCCACTCTAAGCTCTGGTAATCCTAGGGGTGGCCTACAACAAAAGTGTGGGAAAAGTCGTGTCCTGCCCAGAAGATCCCTTCTTTAATTTGTCAAATGAAACGATCACACATCCTAAACCTTCTCTCCCTCTTTCTCTCCATCTCTCTGGAGATGAAAAGCACAATATTCAATCTCTCCATGAACTTTTGATGCTCCACATGCTCCTTCCAGCTCACCACGGGCAAACATTTAAGCCACCACAAATTCACTGGTCAAACTTGCCCCTGCCTCATCGTAAATCTAACAGGAGGGCTTAAATGTGAGAATGGCGGGCAAACACGACCAACAAAAGCAAACAGCTTAGCAGAGTCGGAACTGAATGGTCGGGAGAAGAAAGCGCCTCTCTCTCTCTCAAAACAAGTGAGCTGTGGTTAATAGCAGGAGAGAGAGAGACAGCAGAGGCGGAGGCTGAGGATACACTCTGCATGCTCCTCATGAACGCTCTCCTTTCCTCCAGTGAATACAGGAATCAATCTTGGACCGGCTGCTAAAGCCAGTCCATGAAGAAGCCTTCTCCCCTCTTACTTCACAGCCACACAAAGGACACTTCAGGAAGATATAGGCATTACCGCCTAGTCTTTTTCCCCATCATGTAGAATCCCAAACCATTATTTTTTTTCCTTCCACACTCTATTTTTTCTCTTTACTCTGGGTCTTACCTCTCTTTTTCACCTCATCCCTAATTCTCTTCATTCTGGCTCATTGAACTAGACAATACTTTTTCAAGAGGCACTAAGCCACCACATCAAGGTGCAGAGTCCTCACGGTCCTTGACGAGGTTGTGAGAAAAGCCTTTAGGATGACATTAAAATGGAAAGGGTGATAGAAGGAAAGGTAGAAGTGGGTGTGTCAGACAACACTTCTGTCCTCCATTTGCAGCGAGGAATGCATGTGGCGTCGTAAGGAGTTGTTTCGAGGTCAAGAATGGAAAGGGTCTTATCTATTAGCTATTAAGAAGAGCATGCAAAAGTATAGCTGCATACACACGTTTCCACATTATAAGTTAGACGATGGTATACCAGTATTACATCAACAAATTGTGTGTTCATGCTGTGATAACATCATGCATTTCTGACATTTTTTTAATCACTCTTTGCATTGGAACCAAAAACAACATAAACCATACACACTGGCATAAGCCCACACACATACAAATACATTTGCATGATTCTTTCTCACCTTGCCAGTTGACTTGGGTCCCTTCCAGATGCAGAAGTAGCAGATGAACCAGGCCAGAGCCAAACACATGGCCAGCTCCCAGCGCATTCCTCCCATGTGCTCAATACCATCTGATATCTTCAGTACTCTACGTCTGATTTGGGCACAGAGAACAAATATGATCACTGATTTGAGTGAGCGCATGCTCTGCTTTGACTTGAGTAGAAGCGGCTGATGACAGTAAAAAGTAAAGTAAGGTTGAACTGAAAAAACAAGGCCTTTGCAAACACACAGAGATTATTTCCCAGGCATTTTTTGAATCTTTTACTCAGAGTGCAAGATATGATAACTAAGTTACAACACAGAGTAATGAAAATTAAATATTTGCTTGACATTGCTCAATATGAATAGTAATGTCAAATGTTGCTGGTTAACTACACTCCTGACGAATCCCTCATAGCACTTTTACTCTTTAACAACACAGTCATGTGAGTCGCACAATTTTTATAAAACATACGCTTTTTTAAATGAGAACAAAGATATGCTATATTTGAGAGTGGTTCAATAACACTTTGTCAACTTTTTGAGAGTTCTCCACCGCAGAGCACTACCAAGGACTCACAGGTATCTTGTTGGTCTCCCAGGGTCACTTAGATCTCACAGTATAATCCTTACTAAACCTTAAGGAGACTAACCAGCACTACAAAATAACCTCACCCAACCTTTTAAGATTCCCTATTGGCCTTCTACTCTTTCCTACCATCTATGATGGCTGAACCCTGCTCTGATGCTGACCACAACAATGGTAGATTATGATGCAACTACATGGTTATAAGAAGGACATTTGAAAGTATAAATAAGCACTTGTGTGGAGTAGTGCAGGCTTTCACAATGTGAGGATAGCATTTGGTTTCAGTAGTCCAACCTAAGATTTCACTTCCCATGCGTCTGCTGATAACAGGAATGTTAAAGAGAGGCAGTCTCGAAACCATGATAGCTCATCTCTTCTGCTTGCCCCATGAGTGGACTTCTTCCTTTAGTTGATGAAGCTACAGTATGGAGGAACATTTAATCCTCCTTCTTAACTCTACTGACCCAAAGTGGTCAAGATGTCATGGATTATTTCAGAGTGGAACACGTTAAGCACACTTTAAACGATGCATCCCCAGTGAGATCCACAAATACATCAGCAGGCAGCTTTGTATCTATGATTGATTGTTGTATAATCATACGGGAGATCGCATGCTGCTATGCATCCTGTAACACTTCAAGCTTCTATTGAGTATTGAAGATGTAATGGTGAGACAACTGCACAGTGGTGGACAACATCACCATGCAACATTGGCTCCTCTGTTACAGACATGAACCAGTTCAAGTTGATCATGCAGAATGTTCCGCCCCTTCAAGCCCTCTTTTTAAATTGTGACAAAAGAGTTTATGCCCACATGATCTTCAGGGGCAGACCTGACAAGTCAACCACAACTCCTTGAGCCAAAACAAGGCTTCGTCCAAAAGAACAGACAGTGAAAATGGAGGTTCTCCTGGTATTATAACAACAATACACCCTTAGATGACAACATGTGAGCACAAGAAGCATTGATAATCATTTTACTCCATCTCACCTACTGGCTGTTGATCAACTGTGTCAAACCAATTTTAGCTCTGTGGTCCTAAGATGAGAACTTGCTAGCAACATCACCTGCTTGACCAACTGAGTTCTCACACCAGGGTGACCACCCTGCTTGTTCTGAAGGAATTAAGTTGCTTAGTGGGTAGAGGTCAGTCACATTTACAGCAGAGTATCACAATGAAAGAGAGGATGGGTGAGACATTCTTTATGACTCAAAACCTATGAAATATCATCTTAGAACCTTAGGAAACAATTTTGGGTTGCGTCTGTCTGAGAAAGACAAGAAAAAAAAAGAAAATCGGAGGCTGTGACTTTTTATTTACCTTTGCTGGTCATTATTTCCAGTTTGACTACCAACTAGTTTTGATTAATTCAATATTCGTGAAACTGTACTGCTCAGCCCTTTAAATAATTTGATAAAGGAGACAAATACAGATTGTTTTTGAAATGGCGTCATTCTGCAAAGCGTTATGAGGCCAATAGAATCGTAAAGTGCTTGTAAAGTGTTATAAGAGTACGAGCCTATTGCACTTCGGAAACTAAAATGTTATATTCTTTGGAACATGTGGAATGGCGTAGGTGCACGATACAAGGCATGCAGTTAGCGATTATGACATCATAGCTTGTCGGCATTGGTGAATCAACAGTTTGCTTCCTGTTTGTTGAAGCACAGCCAGTCAAAAACATTGACAGAGAATGAGAAGCAAGACTCTGAGGCACAGAGCTACATGTTGCTGCCAAATCTTTGCCACCGAGTTCACCCCCAGAGCTCCTGACCAGCCATTGATCATCGTGACATGTTCCTGGTGGCTGGCCACATGCAAGGTCCAACACAGCCCCCCATCCCTCCCTGGTCAGTCCGAAGGGCAAGATGTGAACACTAATGTGTGTAAATAGACGTGTGTCTGTTCCCAAATGTATTAAATTAGCTTTTTCTTTATGGATGTGTTGCACTGCATAGTTTAGTTTTACTTACATGCATACTGTTTCAGCTACTTTCTAAGATAAGCATTTAAATCTAGAAATGTTTAAGGGTTCAGTTTGGTTCAAACTATAGCTCAGTGAAAAAAGTCAGGTATCTTATACCTGGTCACATGAATCCTTTTCCTTCATGCAGTAGCATGCCATAATTTATATTTTTTTCATTTGTATGTGTTTTTTTGTTCTTAAAATGACTAATTTTATGATTTGCTTTAGTTAGTTCATATACAGTACCGTTTTTATTGAATTCAAAGAGCAGAATGCATTTTTTGTGTACTGATTTGATTAATTCAAGTTTTTAAAAGAATTGAGATGGAATGACAGCATATGATGATGATTTGAAACATAAAGAATAATACAGACAACAAATTACAGCTTTTTTTAAACTTCCTGATATGATGTTTGTTTATGCTACATCCGTGCAAAACATGACATTGTGTCTTGGCATTGATTAAACAAAGCCTAGTTGGGTAGTTATATTTGCCAGCAGCATGGTGTTCAGCTATTTGGCCATTTCCTTTGGGCATGTCTTCACCCAGTGTGAGGTTTATTTTGCACGCTTAACTTTTTCTTTCATTGCTCTCACAAAAATCATGTCTCTTAATTTGTATTTAATCTCAAAACATGGATACCAATTTTATTTAACTCTTAGCCTGCCACAAGTAGCTTAAAAAGACAGAGATTTGACCCTGCAGTGTAAACATAGCGACTGGCAGCAAGACAGGAAGCGTGGTCAGCATTACACACTGGCAAGGCCTGAGTGTGGCAGCGGCTCTAGCTGGGAGACAGCTGGCCTACCAGGGCCTGTTGACACACAAATATGAAAAGGGCTGACTAATTATCGGGGATAAGGCTAGGGGGGTTCATTTAAACAGTCTGGAGCTGTCAGAAGCTCAGATTTTCAATATTACTGTAAATGATTACATCAAAGGAGGACTTAAGATGCTGAAGACGCCTGAACTGACAAAACATTGCAGTGTGTTGTGATCGTACAGATGAAGACATCATTAATACTTCATGCCCAGAGAGATGAAAGCCACCATCTTTTTATGATCTCCAATGGTTTTTTTACACACAAACTGAGCATGTGAGGTTTCACATTAGGACTAATGAATATGACAGAACATGAAGATGATGTGAGAGGAAAAGTAGAAGTGAAATATTTACTCACTCCCAGAACTCTATGACTGGAGAGGTTGCATTGGGGTTCGTGATGTTGGTGGCATTTTCTCCATAGTAGTCAACACAGTTCTCTGCATAAACAAAATCAGATATTGTTAAGAGTATATTGGCATTATTTCTGCAGCTTTTGGAACTAATTATTTTTCTTCTTTTCTTAAGAAACATACAATTTCATTCACATGATCTGTTCTGCTTGCAAGAAGAACGTCCACTCTTATCCACCAATCCCTCCTTCTACAGTACCTGTGTTCCAGTAGTGCCCACAGCCAGCCCACGGCAGCTCTGTAGTGAAACAGTTGAAGAGGTAGAAGATGGCCCAGGCAAGGATCACTACATAGTACACGTTAAGATGAGCTTCAATCACCTGTGTTGCATAGCCAATACCTAGAAAGATAAAAAAGTTATGGATCAAGACAATGAAAACTCTGCAAGTGATGTGCTATATTTACATATGACTTCAGACTAGTGGATGTAAACAGGGACACTACAGTAGTTTTAAAAAATTGAATTTGTAGAACAACAAATGACTCAAGCTAATCATTGAAAACACATTTATAACACTGTTTACTGTGAATGAGCCTGCTCAAAGTTCTAGTTTGTAGTTGTAGAGTTCTTACTTTCATTTCTTTATCAACAACAAAGAATCTGAGCGAATCCTGCTAAATTATATAAAGCGAGTGTTTTTCTTACCCTCAAACAGCGGGCACACTTTCCTCCAACAGGTAATACCTCCCTCACTCGTGAACTGACCCAGGGCAGTCTCCAGGAAAAAGACAGGGATACCGCAGCATATGAAGAAGATGACATATGGGACGAAGAATGCACCTTAACGCACAGAAAAGAAAATACAACATAATCTATCAACACTTCCAAAAGAACTTTGGCAGAATAAATACTTAACATAACTTTACCAAAAAGAAAAAAAAAACACCTCTTAATGTCTTAACTGGTGAGAGCTGTTCCAAGGTACTCACTACCACACTTCACACACACTGGAAGATGACCTTTTTAGACTAAGTGGAGGATACATGCTGGGCTCCCTGATGGTGTCTAATGATGGGACTAATCTCTTTAATTGATATAATATATGTGCATTATGGATGATGACTCTTTCTTTGAAGATAAAATATCTAGTAAACCTTTGTTCTGAATTTGTCTTTAAATTTTTTAAATGAAATTTTGAAAGTTTCAAACAAGATAAAATATTTGTTTATTTCTTGTTTCTCTTATGTCATCCACTTTTCCAACACAAACCCTTTGCGGATTCTTTTTTAATTAAGTGTGGAAGACCCTGTTCACCGATAAGAGAAACTTCCTCACCTCCTCCATTCTTGTAGCAGAGGTAAGGAAACCTCCAGACGTTGCCCAGGCCGATGATCTCTCCAGCCACAGACAAGACAAACTCGATCTTGTTGTTCCAATGGCCCCTCTCATTGTATTCCCTTACCAGAATGGAACTGGACCCGTCCGGGTCTTTACCATCCTCTGGTTTACCGTTTATAACCGGCCCGCTCTTCTCAGCTGTCATGACTCTCCAGCAGCCCGCTGTGAGAGAGGGGGAAAAAACAGAAGATTTTAAAAAGGTGACCTCATAACCAAAACTTGAAATGGATCAGTAATTTTTTTTTCCAAGAATTTGCATCTTTCTGGAGACATCTGAATGTGAGTGGGACTGTCCCATTCATGCAAAACCACGCCCATTGAAAAGTCAGTATCTTTGTATGTGAACATCCAAATTAAGTGAAAGAAATCCAATTAATTTCCACTCAGTAATTGTTAGACTGCATGACCATCAGGGACAAACTAAATAAAAGGGCACACAGTGGACTTGTAAATAGTTAACCCTGATTAATTACTAATTAAATTGAGGACTTGCATAATTAAGTGCAAAAGAAGACATTGTGCATAAATGTTGTCCAAATAAATGAGGAGGTGTGTGAGTGGGCAGATATAAAAACAAGCTTCCTACAACATGCAACTAAAGCTTTAACTTCGGAATAAACTGTCTCACTCAATGTAATATAACTACAAGATTGTCGAGCATTAAAAAAAACAGATGAACAACTTGGGGAATATAGTTACAGCGTACTTTACTTTACAACGAACCAACCCAACCCCTCATCATCTTTGTGAGCTGCGTAATACCAACTCAGAATGTTATGTCGATTGAAAACCAAACGAAAAGAGTGAAATACAGAAAGTGAAATCAAAATACATGAAAAATGTTGTTCCTGTACTCACCAGTCTACAATGGAACAGTGGCAAAACTCCTTTTTTTTGGCTCCTCCAATGATGCGCACCAACAATTGACTTTTCAAAACACAGGATGGTTTATCCTGAGCAGGGGGGTGAAGAAAAACGGAGAGAGGGGGGCAAAAGAGAAACGATTTGAATTCGCGTTGAGTGAATTTGTTTAGTCGAGTCCCTCGTCTATGTTAATGAAGATCCCAGGCGTCTCAGAGTGACGGTAGAAGTTGCACTAGGCGATGGATAACCTGCGACTGCGCTCCCACTCACCAAGCGGTCCACTCTCAATCGCCTCAACTTGGATAGAAGCCATGTGGTCACAAATGTAGCCCTCACTGCAGCGTTACCACGGCGCAGAGACAGCAGGGAGACACGGGGGAAATAGAGAAAATTCAGTTCGGTGAGGTGTGTACTTGGATTATCAATAACCAGTTTAGTAGGATATGCAGAGCTGACCCTATCGTCTCAAATAGTTAAGTTTAGTTAAAAAAGAAAAAGGTTCCATTTTGCATCAACAAAATATAACATATAAGTAGCATGTGAGCTGACAAGTTGCTGATCTTCTGTGCACTCATTTATTTTATTTTTTATTTTAATTTAAATATCTGTCAAGATTGCAGTAATTTAGGGTCCGTGGGTTAACATAACTAGAGAGCAGTTGGTTTTAATATCAGATCAAAGACTCCAATATGTGTTCTTGAAATTGCATTGTCAATATTATTGGCCAAAATTTGCTTATCACAAATGGGTGTCAGTACATTCATAAGCTTATAGTACTGACACCCAGTAGTATTATTATTAACAGTAGAACCAAATGCAAGCAATGTCTGTTTGTTCAACAAAAATAATTTAGAAGTCTTGCTTTGTATACTTTTGTTGTTAAAATTCTTTAATAGCTAGAGTGAGTTGGTCTTTATAAAACTGTAGTTAAATAAAGTGATGTTGGGGTGCCGGATATGCTAGCGGTTATGTTGCGCGCCCCGCATGTGGAGGGCATAGTCCTCAACACAGCTAGAGTGGGTTTGAATCCGACCTTGACCCTTTCCTACATGTCATACCTCACACTCTGCTCCTGACCTTTCAGCTTTCCTATCCAATAAAAGCAAAAAGGCCCAAAATAAGTAGAAACATAAATGATGTGATGTCAATATAAGTATTTCTTTTAGCTCTTAAGTATTGCTATAAATAGCCTATATGTTAAGCTAGCACATTTTCAGAACAACAGACAAATTAGAACAAAAATCAACATAAACTTAGAAGCTACATTTTATTTCTTTCACTTGAGTTGTTTGTTGGTTGAAGTCTCGTGGGAAGTCAAGTCTCAGTCTTCAAAGAGGCAGTGACCCCATTTGATTTATGAATCGAAGTCAACAGTCTGGCTTCCTTTGTCAAAGCAGTTGCTCCTAAGGCTTTGCACGCAGCATACCAACTCACACCTCTTTGTCCCCTCCAGAAGTCACTTTGCACCCGAGCATACAATATGAGGGGATTTCCTTTTGAAAACAAACAAACATTGGTTTGTTTTGTCACCGGGTGATGATGAATGATCAGCCCATCATAGCAAGTCCTAATAACCCATGCTGATCGAAAAACAATATTATAAACAAGCCTAAAAAGGAGTATGTGGGGTTAGGAGGGTTTGTTCATACACAAGTTGATCGCCTGGTTTCCAGGCATGATAGACTTGATGCACTAGGAACTCCCCTGACTCTAAAAGCCTGACCTAGTCTCTAAGAATCCCTTCACGCAAGGGTCACTCGTCATTGGGAGCTTAAAGGAAGTGCCCTGCATAAAAAATACGGCCACCCAAAGCGGCTGGCAAACACTCTGTTCTTTTCAGTCAGAGTCAAGTCTTTTTTTTATGTTGCTCTGTACAACATGATCATAGTGGGAATGCTTGATAGGGATAAAACTTTGACGATGTGTTGCAGGTGTAGGGCTACTTTCTTATATTCTCTTTTGTGTGCTCCTTTGCCCTCTTGTGTTTTTTTGTGAATGATCAGATTATTCATTACCCTGAAATGTGCATCATGTAACTATACTGCAAAAAATGTAAATAAACAAAAAATGATTTTGTTGTTCCAACTTTCAGAAGGTCTGGAGTGAGTTGTGTACTCCCAAGAAGATGTTTGCTGGAACAACAACAACTTTCACTCCAGCACTGGATGAACTGTAAACAAGATGGTTACAGGTCTTATTAACCATTATCCTTCTTACTCCAGAAGTCATCCAAAGTAATTGGTCCCATTGCTGGTAAGGGGGACTAACAGCTTGTTCCATTAGTTTTTAATTTTGAGAGGAACAGCGTCACTTTGCTGACCAGTAGGGACACTGGGGAAAAAGTTGTTGCTAGGCTACCTACATTGGCCTTTTGCAAGGTGCAGAGTGTTAAAGACAAATAGACAAAGAGATCGGATAGGTTGTAAAAAATAACTTCTGTCTGAGGCACAGGTGTAAGGTAAGGATAAGTGGTATAATAAACAAGCAGAGGACAAATATGAAAAATGAAGGACAGTGAGAGGAGAGTGGATAAAGCTGTCTGTTGGCATCTCTTTCCCTTTCTTACATGATGTTATGTAACAATGGCTTTTTTTCCTTTTGTGAATATTGCTCTCTTAGTCACTGAATCTGTCAATGTCAAATATCTTTTCACTCAGGACTAAAAAGAATATTACAAATATAAAAAATAATAATCCTGCAGTCCTTTTCATTCACTTTGAATCATTGCTGTGGAAAATTTTAACATATACTGTTTGACACTGACCCTGTGGCAGCAGTAACAGGCATTGGAAAAAATGACTACAGAAGTAGTCCTTCTTATTGCTGATAGTCTTGTATGCTTTTGTACAGTATAGGTCGAGTAAAGGCATCAGTAGTGATTGCAGTCTGTTTCATAACCAGTTTAAAACTCCGAACAGATTGATTTGGTCAGTTGTTTGCCTTAAAAACGATTTAGTCCACTTGCTTTTGTATAGCTGAGCATGTGAGAAGATCAGATCCCGAGAAGAGTAGAGCATGAGTAGAGAGGGTTTTGTATTGAGTGCGGAGAGGATTTTCTTTAAAGATGCAACATAGCTAAACCTTCTAATCCATCCAACTACTAGCTCACTTACAGTACACTGTGAGTTTGAATAATTGACTGCATTGTGCAATTTTAGGAAACTGACAAGTATTCCAACATTGCACATAAATATTTTGTGCATTTCTTTTGGGTTGTTGGGAGGTTGTAGGTGAAACACTGTAATACCACTTTTTTTCACGATATGATGTTGCAGGGCAGTTTGTAGGGTTTTTGGTTGCATTTAGGCTTTCAAATTTGAAAACAAACAGTAGAGTGTCATCAGCATATAATGATTACCATTTTGAAATGGAAAATAATATAACCAATCAATCAAAAATTGAACAAGTAATGTTTCAAACTGGTTAACTGTAGATGCCCCAACAATTCTAATCAGAAAAGACTAACTATAAAACTATAAAACTAAATTAAGAGGGGAAATAACAGTATTGAGCTATCGTTATCTCTCAGCTGTCTTGCACATTATGAAATGTTTTTGCACCATTAGCCATACATGAATTTCAGTGATATCTAATGCGCTCAAAGGATGGACTGAATAGACAGTTGGTCCTGATGAAATCTTGAGTGGGAGGGATGAAGTAGGATTGCCTCATTTGCATACTGAAAGTAAAAAAGGGAACAGATTTAGACCTTTGACAGCAACAAGATGTCAGCAGCAACACCCACAGTCAGCTGCTTGAATTGGAAATGAAAAAGGAGAGTAGCCACAAAGATGATTTTCTTGATCGAAGTCATGCCAAGCTTCATAACATAATAAATTTTTAATGTGTATTTGATATGTCTAACATGTTAAGAACTGAACCAACACAAAGAACGTTTACAAAAAAACAAAAATCATAACTTTGGCCATATCTGTCATTCTGGCAATGCTGATGTTACACCAAGTGCATAAACCTCTAGCTCAATAGACAGCACCCCACATTTTCATATCAACAGCAATTTGTTTGAGCAATTCAACAAGATGGCCCCAGAACATTTAAACATGGGTCACTTCACCAAGGAAGCTTTAGACTGCATTGATGCACGATTTTCATCAAAAACAAAAAGAAGCCACTAGGGAAAGTGAAGAGAAAAGAAGCTAGGGGAAATGAAAGACAAAGAGCCCAGTGCAACAGATCCCAAACACAGGTTCAACTAACTAGCTGCAGCCAATCCACTGCATCTATTCAGTCCATTTAAATACAGCTTTTCTTTTATCCCGATGCAACAATAAGTCTGGTGTCCCACAAAAAGTAGTATTTACATTCACAATATTGGTGTGACAGTATCAGATAATAGTTTGAGGGTGTGATGACAACATAAGCGTAGGGATGCATTAGAATATATACACACAAACACACGCTGACCTCAAGCTTTCTCTACTTGGCAAGATGGGCACGTTGAGAAGCTACAAACCAGGCCACCCAGTAGTGAGTGAGACCTGCCAGCAACAACCCTGGGCACATTCCAAAAAGCTGATACTGATATGCCAAATATTAATACTAAAAGAGACTAGAGCAATTGAGATAGCTTTCACTCTGGTAAAAAAACGAGGGCTATATAGACCTCTATATACTATACTAGTTTAATATCTTCTTGAATCCATGTATATTTTCACCACTGGTCTTTATTTATATAATTATTGGCTTTTCTTGAACTTGATGATGAACAGTTTGATTCATTATTTTTCCTGTGTGAAATGGATCTCCTTCAGTAACTTTGGCATAGGCCTTAATATTTAATTCAAGGAAAAATAGTGATATAATCGTGTATTGATAATACTCTTTCCAACATTGATAATACTCTTTCCAACATTGCCACTTTGGAGTTGTGCAGGGGTTTCGGTGTCCTTGGGACCCTGAGCTGTGATGGCTGGGGAATAGTTTCCTAAAGCAAATTCGTCCCAGGTAAGAGGTCAGACTAAAAGGGATTAAGAGAACCCCCTATGAATCTGCTAAGTAGGACCTGCAGCATCTCACAAAGACAAGGGAAAGCTGGCAAGCATCTGGTGGCTTTGTCTTGGTTCATGGAACTCTTTAGCCATTACCAGCTACCATTAATGCAATGCAAGACTGGCAGCTGGTTAGGGCAGGTAGATAGGCATGCTGATCCCTTGCAGCACACACTGATCATAAAAGGATGATGTGTGAAATGTAACTAATCTTTCAGAATACAAAAAGGAACTGGTGATAGTTCGGCTACATACATTAGATACTAG